TCCACAAAACCTCAAGCTTTCTCTCTTTAACCTCCTTGTTATCTTTTTCTCTCATTCTCTCATGAGGTATGCATATCCTCTGGCCAAAGGGGTGGGGGGACACGATGTTTTCTCAAGGAATTACAAATAGAACTACTATATGATCTGTCAGTCCCACTTCTGGTTATATATCTAAAGGAAATGGAATCAGTATCTCCAAGAAATAACTGCACGCCGGGGTTCGTCATAGCAATATTCATAACAGTCAAAATATAAGAACCACTATAGTATTAGTAATGATGGTACATATACAATAGAATATTGTTCAGTCACAGAAAATGAAGAAAATCCTGCCATTAGTAGTAACGTGGGTGAAACTAGGGGACATTACACCAAGTGAAATAAGACAGGCCTAGCAAAACAAACACTATATGATCTCAGGACAGGTGGAATCTAAAATGCCAAACTGAGAGTAGAATGGTGGCTGCTAGGGGCTGAGAGAAGAGAAGAAATTATGGTTAAAGGGTACAAAGTTTCAAATATAAGATAAACAGGCTCTAGGGAGCTAAGGGACAGCATGGGTATTAATGGATGTGTTCGCTAATTTGATTGTGACCATCATTACACAGTGTATATGTCAAACCATTCCCTTGTACACTTTGACTATATTCAAACTTTATCTGCCAAGTATTTTAAATTTAATTTAATCAAATATATTTAAATTTTTAAAAAATACATTTAAAAATATTTTTAATAAAATATATTTTATATGTGATATACAAAATATACATACATTTCTTTTCTTTTTCCCCCCATATTTTTGCTATAGAGTGCATGTGCTCACTAGAGAAAGACAGAGAGAAACTGAGAATCCCCACACTTCAGACACCTCCCCCCCCCAGGGGATGGCCATGCTGCAACGCCTTCTCTTCCATTCTGTTCTCAGGATTTGGGCCACACACTCACAGGTGTCTGGTGTGAGTTTCAAGCCACTGAGTCTGAAGCTCAAACCTTGGTCAACCATGTGGGAGTCCAGTGCCTTAACCACTATGCCACCTGCTGGCCTCTACATCAGGTATATATATATTTCTATGGCTTTGATAAAATAATCTCCCTGGTTCCTGCCAATTCTTCCATCTTTGACTCCTCCTCTTTTTTTTTTTTTTTTTTTTTT